GAGCGCATCTAATCATCATTTTTTTTTTTTTCCGTGCTCGAACTTGCGCCAGAAGAGCGGAGGGCATGCTTTTTATCCATTAGCTCTCCACGTCACCTGATTATAAATAGGTGTGCAGAGAAGATGCTCGAGTCAGCGCAGACCGAACGTGACCGAACAATGATCTCTCTGAGAGATTTTACAGCGGCTTACCGGGGAAATTGAGCAACTAAGAGTCTGTACTCTCTCTCTCTCTCCTACGCTATCAGGCCGCCTTTACATACGAGACTGGGTATATGCGACGTGCGCAAGGCGCTGTATAGGTACATATGTTTCTCTTGTATCTGTGACACCGTTTGGAAATTAATTCTAGTGCTGTTTAAAATTTCCTGGATTTTCTCGTCGCCGTTTCGTCCTGGAGATGATAGAGTTTGTGCTTGAGACGTATTTCATTTTATTGCAATTTAAGTTTAGAAATGGGTAAAATTTGGGAATTTTTTTTTAGGTAATTATTAAATGAAAAGATTCAATTTTTTCGGAGGATACGAATGTAAGTTTCAACTTTTTTTTCCAATTTTTGAAAAGTTTTTTTTCCAAAAAGTTCCAGTTTTAGCTAAATTTTTGTATGAAAGAAAAAAAAGTGACTAAAAAGTACATGATCTATATAAAATAATTTTCTCTTTCCTTAAGTGTTCATTCTCTTTCTGTAAAATACTTTTTAGACAGTAAATGTGTTGCAAAATGGGATGTAAAAGCATCGAGTGACAAAGTAACATTTGTAACAAAGAATCTAAGATCCTCGGAAATGAGAAATTTTATTTACGGCAGTTTAGTTATAAAATATATCTCTGTATCACAAATTTCAGGCATTTTTTTTTTTTTAAGTGTGTTAACGAGTTAAATACAAAAGTAACCAGTAACAATTTCAACTAAATAATTCTATCAAAGAATACAAGCTCCTCAGAAATGAGAATATTGCTAAAAAAAAATAGATTTCTGGATCACAAATTTCACGCACTTTTTTTTAAATAACTACTAACAACCGTTACAAAATCATCGACGATCAGTTAAAACCTCTTGTATTCGAAGAAACTTTCAGCAGAAAGATCTACGAACGATTTTTGCCGCTGGAGTATTCCTCGATCGAAATTGGAGCCGGGGATCTAGGAAATTCGATTGCGGACAGATTCGATCACGCGGCGTGCTTTGAATTCCGCCACGTAGAACGAAAAGTGCGCGCGGAGGAGGCCTTGACGTTGATAAATTCTCGACAGCGTGTATCTGGTTCACCTCCTACCCGCCCCCTCCCGTTCATATTTGATGCATCAAAGTAAGCGGAGATGGCGGTGAATGGATCGCGAGTGGGGACAAATGTGATCAGAGCGGAGGTTCGGTCGGCGCTATAGGCCACTCGGGCGTCGTATTTCAGTGGCGAGAGGGTTTTACCAAGCCCTCGGCGCGCAGCGGAAGAAAAGACAAAAGTGAAAGAAAAGGAAACGGAGGAAATAAGAAAATAGAGAGGAACGGGAGCGAGTAAAGGGACGTGACAATGCGGAGATAAAGGAGAGATGCGAGGAGTGTTAGGGCGAAGGAAGTGTGAGCGGTATGCCTGGCATTAAGGAAAGTGGGAAAGAAAGGGAGGAAATTAAGAGCGACGTTTTTTGCTAATTTACCGAAGATCCTTCGGAGGAGAGTGTCTGTGAAGTGCGATTAATACGAGCTAAATGGTAACAGTTTGTGGCACCCGTATCGAGGATTTTTCAGTCTCTTTAGGAAATAAATCTACCGATTGTCGCAGGTTTTGACTGTCTAACGTTGTCGGTATATTCTATGGGTCGAAATGAGAGAAAAATGTTGTTCAAGTATCTTGAGTGAGGAATCGATAACTGCAGACTTGTCACAAAAGACGAACTCTTCTAAGGAAAATTTAACATCTGTTTGTAACAATTAATCAACTAAAGAAGATTCCCGATCCTTGACAAATTTCTGTCTACTTCAATCTGTGCCAAAAATCGCCAAGGAAAGGTATAGTTTAATAGAAGAACCTGTTACGGCTCTGAACCAGACTCTGAGCTTCCTATCTCGCCCAAACTGATGTTTCGACGATCAGATTTCATATTCTTTCACGCCTGTCTAATTTTACGACCTCTCTACATCTCCACCACCATTTCACGATCCTTCGAGCAGCAACACACGCCTAACCCAAGGCTCCAAAGGTTAGAAACTTAGAGAGACGATAAATATTACATTAGCTCGTTGTTCACGAAAGGGCGCATCGACAAATGTAACTAGAAACGTTCGTAAACTTAATATCGCTCCTGTCGGCTGTGTTCGAAACGATCGAACGATCGATCGATCCGTTCGAGCAGCATCCTTACAAATTGGCTCACTCGGATTAGTCGCGTTCCGTCGAACGAATGCTTCCTAATGGATCACGTTCGTGGGAATAATCAACGGAACTGCGCTCCCCAACCGACCGACGCGAACTAATCGCGGGGAAGGTCGGTGATATTGTTGCGGATAAATTATTGCGCCCGTATCGACGAGCCTTCGTAATGACCCACATTTCGTGGATCGTTCCAGAGCGACCTTCCATCTGGCCCGGCCGGTATACCGTCAATAACACCGGACCATGAACCTTGATAGGGTTTTTCTGGTTTATCCGATAACGATCTTATATGGACTGCGATAAAAGTCGATAAGTTGAGAGAGAAATATTGCTGGCGGTGGTAATGTCGCGAAGGGAGCTCGACTCGGACAGGTAATCGAGAGCCTTTTAGTCTTTCCAACGTGTTACCGGATTAACCGTTTGTATTGTCTACGTGAAACTTGGAATTTTTGGTTGAATCGTGTGTTCGACTGACACGAATAGAATGTAGATTGATATTTTCTCTAGATTTTTTGTAGTATTTGATATGATTTTATAAAAAGGAAGAGATAAATTGAAATTTTTAGGAAGAAGTTGCTTTGTGTGAAGTAGAGATGTTTTTTTAGAAAGTATGTTTATACATTTTTACCAGAGAAAATTGTTTCGTTCAACTTGAAATATCGTGGAAGACGAACATTTGTAGTATTATTCAGACGTGTATACAACACTGGCAATTTCACGAGGATTATAATATAAGTCAGCTCTTGGTTCTAAAGTTTCATAATGCCGGGCTGCTCTTCTTTGAAGTGAAACGATATTTGACGTGGCAAGAAATTTCTGTTATACCTTGCATATGTACCGTGATATTTTTTGTCTCGTATAAACTTGTACTCTCGTGAAAAATCGAGTCCACAAATTGTCTGCTAAGCTTTTCTGGTCAAACTACTTTCAACTTTGATAAAAAGGGGGTTTCTCGTCAACTATTCTGCCTTCGTTCGAAACTTTCTTTACTTTTTCACGCGAGAAAATTGCTATATATGAAATTCATCATTACTTGAATACTTGTACGTAATTGCTGTAGTTTCGTATCGTGTACTTGCATGGAAACGAAAGTTTGTAAGTTTATTTAATTTTCGACTTTTAATGTATTTAGTTTACCTAAGTTTGTAACGGAATGTTATTTAAAGAATGAGTGCTTTGCGAAAGGAGATGAGTGCGGTGTGTAAAACAATGCCGATATATTGTAACTTTTAGTGAAATACATTTTGTACACTTATCTTACGAGAAATGATTGATTTTTTCATAAATAATTGCATTTCTTCATTTTTCCTGATATTGAAGTCCTTTCCTTGATTCCTGAAACCCTCCATTTCTAATTTACACTAAAAGAACGTTAATTTTCAAACGTTAAACAAACGTAAACAATTTCATGCATGCAATTGTTAATTCTTCAATTAAAGTACTTGAAAATAAAATAGAAGCTTTAAATATATCAATAAATTGACGAATTAAGCTGCTTTGTTATATTCTCGATGCTATTTTCTTGCAATTCTCGCAGGATTCCGGACATAAAGAATTTTGGGATGACCGAGAAGTGATTGACCAACGCTACTTACCGGTTTCAAGAGTTTTGGGTCAGAGTCGGCTCGCATTACTTGGTTATTTCGAAAAATTGTAACTCCTGAGAAATCGTTGACTTGCACTACTTACCGGCTCTGAAAAATTCTCGAATATCTGAGAAATGGTTGACTTGCACTACTTGCGGTATTTCAGAAATTTTAGAAAATTTTCCAAATCGGAGAAAGTAGTACAACTCAACCATTTCTCGGGCTCTCGAATTTTTGTTAAATATCTCAGTAGCGCAGGTCAACGATTTCTCAGACGCTCGAAATTTTTCGTTGGCTGTAAGTAGTGCAAGTCAACGATTTCTCAGAGGCTCGAAATTTTTCGGTATGCCTGAGCTATTTTCGCGCATGTTTCTAAGTTTCTCGCTCGAATTTCGCGATTTTCACGATCTTTTCAACGAGAACATTAATAAATTATGCTGTAAACCCACGACAAAGGACGACGCACAACAGAGAGCTTTCAAAGAAATACTTTTCCCAGTAAGTTGCAATAATAAAGGTGTCCGATACTTTCGACCATGCCTGTACTTCGTCAACTGGTGAACCGTCTATCCGGAGCAATCGATGATTTTGTTGCTGGGAAGTTTGGTAGGAAAATTGCGGGACCCTTCTTGTGATACGTCCTTTCACGAACAAGTCAAACTTTAATTTGATTCTTCGAAATTGACGCCGGGTCGATGTAACATAGGGAGAAAAGATTGGGACGGGGGCGAGAGATCGATGGGGAAAGGTGACGAGTTCATTTTTGAAATAAGAAAAGTTTCGGGCCTTCGGTTCGCCCGGGGGCATTACTTTCAGGATACTCTCTCAGACGGCGGAGATTTTATTACCGTGGAATTCTGATCTCTCCTTTGTCCGGATCGCTCTGTATCCATTACTACTACTTTCCCGCTGCGTCCCGTATTAAAATTCACCGGTGATTTCCATTTTATTACCGCACTTGGCGTACACCATCCAGACCTGCTCTTATCTGTTCCGCTGTTTACCAAACTTGACATAACCAGGTAGGACGAATCTGTCTGTTATAGGTTGCTCTTGCGTCGTCTACAGCAGCTCGGACAGACCTCAAGGTGGCACGTTCATATCCCCTTGTTACCCCCACCGATATCCGTCAAATATCGATTGCCTGCTTTACACGTTCATCGGTCAACCCGACGAAATTGTCAAGCTGACGTTTCATCACTTCAATATCCGGCGTGTTCGACCCGAGTAAGTACCCTCTTTGAAAGTATACACCTTGAAATTTACAAGCCACGCTCGAGCAGAACTTTTCTGCCACGCGATACACAAGGGACGGTGCTTCGTCTCTGGGACAAGTGAAATGCATGTTTTGATAAATGACAACCGACGCGGTTATTGTCACCTCTTCCGTGGGGGGTGATCGATGCTGCTGCTTTTTAGGCAATCTTAAAACAGTAAATCTTAAAACAGAATAAAAACAGTAATAGTTAACGTGCAGCACTGAATTTATAAATGACGTGCCGTTGGCGATGTTGCTTTAACCCTTTCGCGGACAAATTATTTTCTTTTTTAAAATTTGCGAATTTTTGGGGGATTTTTTTCGCGATCATCGAGACTATGATGGGTGCTAAATTGAGATGAATTTTCAGTCGAGTACTCGAGCGGGATATGTGCGTTCCATTGGCAGTGAAAGGGTTAACGCAATTTGCTTTTCATATAA